TTTGGGAATTGTAGGCCAAAACACCTGGAGAACCACTGCACAAGAAATTGAAATCTTCTGAACCTGGATTCCTAAACTAGGATTTTTAAAATTCTCTTTTGATTCCTGGCTTATTTGGGGAAAAGAAGCCTGGGGTGTAATTCAGATAAACACGGCAAGCTTTCAATTCGTACTTATTTTAAAGAGTTTCCAGTAAGTAAGAAAAACCTCCTAGTGGTGACAAATTGGCTCTGTACACCAGCACAAAGCTGATTCATGGCCAGCCAGGTGTTTCCAAAAGCATAGCTTGCCCTGGCATGCCAGTTCACCCATTGTTTTTATTAAACAATAGAAAATGGTTCCTACTGTGCTTGTTCAAATTCCAGTCTTCAGTAAAAAGTATTAGGACTCTTAGCACAGCAGGATTATCTGGGGACAGAGACTGCTGGAGACAGTGGATTAGAATAAGGGCTCTGTAGAAGTCATGGGCCTATATATTGCTTTTTCATTCCTGGGTGGAGCTGAGCCTTGCACTACTTGCAGATTGTATTATCTTCCTTTAAATGATCAACTTCGAACCACAGTCAGAGAATGTGTGCTGTGCCATAAGAAAGTTCCTGCATATAGAAAACTAAGGTAGATATATACATGTTTTGGAACAAAGATAAATTTCTGTCTTAGAGTTTATGAACATTTTGGTATTCTAGATTTAAAGTGTTCAGAAGCATTCCATCTTACCAAAGAAGGGCTGGGTGGAAGCACCTGGGTGGTATGCACACTGAGATTGGGGATCTGTAACGAAAAATTCTCTGCAAATTTAGGAAATTGCAGTCCATAGTTGATGAGCTTAAACAGTATAAAATGAGAGTATTTGGATAAAGAATAAATTTATTTGTTTGTTTGTTTGTTTATAATTCAAACTTATATGCTGCCACTCCCCTGGGGCTCGGAGCGGCTTACAAGAACAGGCTAAAATCTAACACAATTTAAAAACAATTTAAAACAATTTAAAAACAATTTAAAACAACAATGTCAGAGATCAAAGGCCTGTTGAAACAGATATGTCTTATATGCCCTGCGGAAAGCTGATAGGTCCCGCAAGGCACGGACTTCAGGTGGCAGAGTATTCCAGAGTGATGGTGCCACTGCTGTAAAGGCTCTACGTCTGGTTGCTGTTAGACTTGACACTGGGAATTTCCAATAGATATTGGTCCTCAGAATGGAGCGATCTCTGGGGTTGGTAGGGGGTGAGGCGGTCCCTCAGGTACATCGGCCCCAGACCATGCAAGGCCTTAAAGGTGAGTACCATCACTTTGAAAGTGATCCGGTGCTCAATTGGTAACCAATGCAGCTGTAGTAAGATTGGTGTTATGTGGCATCTCATCGGAATTCCTGCAAGAAGCCGAGCAGCTGCATTTTGTACCAACTTGAGCTTCCGGATCACCGACAGAGGAAGGCCAATGTAGAGGGCATTACAGGGTCTTGAGATGACCGTAGCCTGGATCACTGTAGCTAGGTCGTCCCTGGACAGATAGGGGGCCAGCCGTCTAGCCTGCCGCAGATGAAAAAGAACTGCTACCAGTTTCTGTTTGTTTCATTCATAGCTGCCCCCCCCCCCCCCCAAAATTTTCATTTCCATTCACTTTCTGAAAATGGGCACCTTTATGAATGGGTGTTTTCATTCCACATCTGAAAAAATGAAAAAAAAATTGGACCATTGAACAACAGGCGCAGGCTTCCCCTAGGCTCCCCTTCCCCTCAGTTTTAGGGCTAAAGGGGTGAAAATCACCACACATGGAGGGCATATCTACCACTTTAAGCCCACCGACTGTTATAACTTTTGGGTCATCCTCTGATTTTTAGAGATTTTTCTTTATTTCTAGAGAGAGAGAAAATCTCCTTAAAACCCTTCTAACTTCTCCAGCAGCAGCAGCAGGAGGGAGGCAGGGCAGCATTCCTTCCTACCAAATGCAAAAGATGCTTCACACACCACACACAGTGCCCAACCCCACTATTTCACTTCTTCTTAATAAAAATATAATAACAAGCAACTTTTTCCTAAGCCTTTGCAGCAGCCACAGCAAGCATTAGCAAGTATTGTCCCCTTATTTTACAAACACTGATCCACTGGAGAAAAAACTTTTTTCAAAATGTATTGTGTGAAATCTAGCCATGACTGGAGCATATCATGTCATGTCTTAACAATGAGAAGAGCGCAGAACAAACAAGGCAGAGAGAGATCGACTAGAGAATGGAGAGACCTCGTGTTCCAAGGGTGTGTGTAAGGGCCCACACAAGGGCAAGGGTTGTGCAGTGTAGCGTGAGGAGAGCTGTTGTGTGTCATCCCTGCACAAGTTTTGTGTCATCAAATTTCCAGTCCTCAATGAGTAAGCTACACTAGAATTAGGGCTAAGCTCAGAGATTCATTTCCCCACATTCCTATGCATGTTTCCCAAAGGACTTTGTCTTTTGTCTTTACTGCTAGCCACTATCTCCTCCCCCTTTGATCGCGTTGTAGTGGAGGAAACTTCCTTTTAAGTTTGAAGAGCCCTGGGAAGCCCATGCAGTCTCCACCATTCCTCTTCTGCTTTTCTCCCAGTGAGGATGCATTTTGTCTCTGCAAGGAGAGACAAAATGAAATCTATACAGTCATGGCTAGATTTCACACAATACATTTTGAAAAAAGTTTTTTCTCCAGTGGATCAGTGTTTGAGCAGAATTCAAAACGATCTTGACAGATTAGAGAGATGGGCCAAAACTAACAAAATGAAGTTCAACAGTGACAAATACTCCACTTTGGCAGGAAAAAACAAAATGCAAAGATACAAAATGGGGGACGCCTGGCTCAAGAGCAGTACATGTGAAAAAGATATTGTAGTCCTTGTGGACAACAAGTTAAACATGAGCCAACAATGTGATGTGGCGGCGAAAAAAGCTAATGGGATTTTGGCCTGCATCAATAGGAGCATAGTGTCTAGATCTAAGGAAGCAATGCTACCCCTCTATTCTGCTTTGGTTAGACCACACCTGGAATATTGTGTCCAATTCTGGGCACCACAATTCAAGAGAGATATTGACAAGCTGGAATGTGTCCAGAGGAGGGCAACTAAAATGATCAAGGGTCTGGAGAACAAGCCCTATGAGGAGCGACTTAAAGAGCTGGGTATGTTTAGCCTGAAGAAGAGAAGGCTGAAAGGAGATATGATAGCCATGTATAAATGTGAAAGGAAGTCACAGGGAGGAGGGAGCAAGCTTGTTTTCTGCTTCCCTGGAGACTAGGACGCAGAACAATAGCTTCAAACTACAAGAAAGGAGATTTCATCTGAACATGAGGAAGAACTTCCTGACCGTGAGAGCCGTTCAGCAGTGGAACTCTCTGCCCTGGAGTGTGGTGGAGGCTCCTTCTTTGGAAGCTTTTAAACAGAGGCTGGATGGCCATCTGTCCGGGGTGTTTTGAATGCAATATTCCTGCTTCTTGGCAGGGGGTTGGACTGGATGGCCCATAAGGTCTCTTCCAGCTCTTTGATTCTATGATTCTATGAGAATGGCAGGATATAAATGCAGTAAATAGATAAATATTATTTTGTATCAGAGGGGGTTTACCATTTCATGTCCCCCAGATGAAACAAAAGGAATGAAAAAACAAATAAAACAGCAGAAATGGGTACCGCAATATGATTAATGACTATGACTAAAACACAAACTTCATAATAATGCATACAATAATTGTTCCCCATTACACTATTTATTATTTATTTTTTATTTATTTGCAGTATTTGTATACCACCCTTCTCAACCCTGAAGGAGACTCAGGGCAATTCACTATTTCCCCCTTCACACCTCCTGTTCCTGTGACCTACCCTTCTTTGGGTTGAAGTCATTCATATAGAACTTTACCCATCCTTCCCAGTAAAACATACACCCATTCTTCCTCTAGCACAAGAATCATCATCTAAAAATTACAAGCCAAAATTCTAACAAAGCCCAAATTATGGAGCCTAATCTCAAATGCTTTCCCTTCTTCTCACAAAGATAGTTCCCAATTCCTTATCAAAGTTCTTCTCTGTTTTCTCCCTATCCATCATGGCCAATTTATCCACAACCCTCATTCTAAAAACTTTTCACTGTCATTTTCTTTTTTACTTTTTTTCTTATCCACCTCAAGCCCTATCCCTTTGCCTTCTTCTCCTCCCTTCTCTAAAGTTGCATCCTCCTTTCTTCTTGCATTTAGTGATTTGTCTAGTTTAAATCAATTTCTTCTGCAAAACTCCCTAGCCTTCATTACTGAGTTTGGTACATGTTGTCTCTCTGTAAAGTGTAAAGATATACCTTGATCCAAATATTCCTCCAGGTTCACCTCTCCTCCTCCCATGAAACTCGCCAAAGTACTAATCTCCCATTTATATATGTTTTCATCTATTGCTTCCTTTAGGCCACCAAGTTTTTCCTTCTCTTGCTTCCACTGGTGTAATTAAGTCAACTGGATGTTCTGTTTTTTCTGTTTCTCCAAAATGTTCTTCCAACATTTCTGTTCATCCCACTGGCTCTCGCACTTGATGCACCACTGTCTTCATGTCAGTTCTCATCTGTGTAAATTATTGTCTCACTTATTTCAATTCTGCTATCATTTCGTCCTTAATTCCTGCAAAGGTTTGAATGAACAAATCTCTCATTGCTTGGATCTCTTACAGATTTTTTAGAGCTGGTTAAAAGGGAATTGATGAGATAGGTCAGGTTTTGTTCTTGTTGAAGTAATGATTTAACTGACAGTTTTTCAGTGATAGCCACACACTTAAATGCAGTTTTTCATCCTAAATTGATCAGATTATAAGAAATTTCGTACCAGAAACCTCCTAACCCTTTTTGCTATTTCATCTTCCTCCTAGCCCCTAACCCTAACCCTAGCCCCGTGTTTGCAATGTACTTAAATACAAACAGCAAAATGTATGATTTGTTAAAACATGTCTCTTCTGGTTAGAGTATTTAAGATCTATTGTAACATTCTTTTTTTTAATTATCAGGTGCGATGGATGATGTATTGGATTGTGTTTGCTCTTTATACTGTCACTGAAACAATAGCAGACCTCATGATCTCTTGGTAAGCTCCATGTCACTGCAAAGCCTAATACCTATTGTTTGTAGCAGATAATAAATATACCGTATATACTCAAGTATAAGCCGACCCTAATATAAGCCGAGGCACCTAATTTTACCACAAAAAACTGGGAAAACTTATTGACTCGAGTATGAGCCGAGGATGGGAAATGGAGCAGCTACTGGTAAATTTCAAAATAAAAATAGATACCAAAATTACATTAATCGCGGCATCAGTAGGTTAAATGTTTTTGAATATTTACCATATTTCAACGAAAAACAGTAAACTAGTTCAGTAAGTGGAAAAGGGGGATCAACAAAAACAATGTGGTCTCAACAATAACATTATTTATTTATTTATTTATACCCTGCCCTATCTCCCCATGGGGACTCAGGGCTTTTTCCAACATAGTAACAGGCAAACATTCAATGCCTATATAAACAGAAAACCATAAAAAATTAAAACAAAAGACAATACTAAACATTGTACAATAAGTTAAAATAAACAGTTGCATTAAATAATTATCATTAAAAGCAGTTACCAGCGGAAGTAAAGTGTCATATCAGTTCCCTTTCGCCTTCTCTCAGGCTTCTCCTGTTGACACAGCCTAGAATGGCATTGCCTTTTTCAGCTGCAACATCACATTGTTGGCTCATGGTCGACTAAGACTCCTTTCATAGAATCCTAGAGTTGGAAGGGACTTCTAAAGGCCATCTAGTCCAACTCCCTTAATTCTGCCTTCATGCAGGGAAAACACAATCAAACACTCCTGACAGATGGCCAYCCAGCCTCAATAATAATAATAATAATAATAATAATAATAATAATAATAATAATAAYAAYAACAACAAGAGTTGGAAGAGACCCTTGGGCCATCTAGTCCAACCCTCTTCTCCCTTTGTGCACAGTCAAGGCATCCCTGACAAATGGCCACACAGCCTCAATAATAGTGATGATGATAATAATAATAATAATAATACCAATACCAATAATAATAAGGAGAGTAGGAAGAGACTCCTTGGGCCATCTAGTCCAACCCTCTTCTCCCTTTGTGCAGAAAAAGCACAGTCAAAGCACCCCTGACAGATGGCCACCCAGCCTCAATAAATAATAATAATAATAATAATAATAAKAAGAAGAAGAAGAAGAAGAAGAAGAAGAAGAGTTGGAAGAAACCCCTTGGGCCATCTAGTCCAACCCTCTTTTCCCTTTGTGCAGGAAAAGCACAATCAAAGTACCCCTAACAGATGGCCACCCAGCCTCAATAATAAAGAGAGTTGGAAGAGACCCCTTGGGACACCTAGTCCAGCCCCCTTCTCCCTTTGTGTATCAAAAGCATAGTCAAAGCACCCCTGACATATGGCCACCCAGCCTCCATAATAAGAAGAAGGAGAAGAAGAAGAGTTGGAAAAGACCCCTTGGGCCATCTAGTCCAACCCTCTTCTCCCTTTGTGCAGCGAAAGCACAATCAAAGTACCCCTAACAGATGGCCACCCAGCCTCAACAACAACTATAAAGAGAGTTGGAAGAGACCCTTTGGACCATCTAATCCAACCCACTTCTGCCTTTACCTCCTCCTCCCTCGCTCCCTGCACGCCTTCCTCAGCAGTGGTGGCAGAGGAGGAGGGAGCTGCCGCATTAGGATTTGTCCACAGCCTCGCTCTCCTCCTCCCGTGTGGCAATGCAGCAACAGGGAGGAGGCAGGAAAGGCATGCGCGGGGCAAGGGAGGAGGGAAAAGTGTGTACCTCTGCCCCCTCCTCTCTCGTGCTGCGCCCGCCATCCTCAGTGGCAGCGGGAAAAGGCACATGCATGGCGAGGGAGAAGGGAAAGGTGTGCTCCTTTCCCACTTCCCTAGCTCCATGCGCATCTTCCTCAGCTGCAGCTGCAAGCAACAGCATAAGGTCAGATGTAAACAGAGAATCGCCGTCTCAACATAGGCTTCTCTAAACAATTGCATGGTTTATTGAATCCAGGCTGGATGTGTCATGATCTTTTTTTCTTTTGGCTTTAGGTTAGCCAGGTAACTCGCAGGGAATGGGAGTCGACTATGAAACAGACACAGAAACAGAAGGGGGGGAAGAGAGGGGGGAGTTCCCACTCTCTAAGACAGTTTGCTCACAGCCTCACTCTCCTCCAGGCTCAGAGGACGGAAAGGCCTGCAGGGGGGCAAGGGACGAGGAGGTGAGGGTCCTGGCGGGAAGGTATTGAGGAAGGTTTTTTTTATCCCCATGCCTTGCCACCAGGACTCTCACCCGAATCTAAGCCAAGGAGAGGTTTTTCAGCCTGAAAAAAGGGCTGGAAAACGTGGCTTATATTCTAGTATATACGGTATATGTCTAAAAAAATAGTTTTAAATCTGTATAATCCTGTATTTTATTTGTGTTCTACAGGTTTCCTCTGTACTACGAGTTGAAGATTGCTTTTGTTATTTGGTTGCTCTCTCCATATACTAGAGGGGCAAGTTTAATATATAGAAAGTTTCTCCATCCTCTTCTTTCTTCAAAAGAGAAGGTGAGATATCTTCCCAAATTTATCATCTTAAAACAATTTGGCCAATATTTAAGTGATTTAAATGCTGCTGCTGTGTGTTGTTTGGAGATGAGGTGGACACCAGCTCAGACCCCTGGCCTGTGGGGTCCCGCAAGGTTCCATTTTGTCCCCCATGCTTTTTAACATCTACATGGAACCGTCATCTGGAGTTTTGGAGTTCGGTGCCATCTCTACACAGATGACACACAAATCTACTACTCTTTTCCACCAAAATCGAAGGAAGCCCCTCGTATACTGGACTAGTGCCTGGCTGCTGTGACGATCTGGATGAGGGCGAACAAGCTGAAGATTAATCCTGACAAGACAGGTCTCCAGATCAGTTGCACATCTGATCGGGGTATAGAGTGGCAGCCTGTGCTCGACAGGGTTGCATTCCTCCTGAAGACACAGGTCCGCAGTTTGGGGGACCTCCTGAATTCAGCACTGACACTCGACAGTCACCTGCTGTGGCTGGGAGGGCCTTCACACAATTAAAACCCATACGCCAGCTGTGACCATTCCCTGTGAAGTCTGATCTGACCACAGTAGTCCATGCCTTAGTTACCTCTAGATTGGGCTATTGCAATGCACTCTACGTGGGGCTGCCCTTGAAGATGGCCCGGAAACTTCAATTGGTCAGTAGCCAGACTGCTAACTGGAGCAAATTACAGGGAGCAATCTACCCCCCTATTTAAGGAGTTCTGTTGGTTGCCGTTCATTTTCTGGTCCCAATTCAAGGTGCAGGTTATCGCCTACAAAGCCCTGAACAGTTTGGAACCCACCTACCTTCGTAACTGCATTTCCTTTTACAAACCTGCATGATCTCTTTGATCCTCTGGGTAGGCCCTTCTTATCTGGCTTTTCCGGCGTGCCTTTGACAAGTGAACACATACCCCCATATCATGTCAATCCCAACTACAGTTCTGTCTTCATGACACACTTATTCCCATCCTTAATGAAGGCTCAACCCCATTGTTCACCCCTTCTGAGCTTCCCCCAGACACATACTTCTCCATTTACTTATCTCACCCAGGGTTTTATCAATTTTATCCTATGCATTTGGCCCGCCCACTATGCTTTTATTTCTTTATCATGTTATTTTGTATTTGTTTCTTTCATACTGTGTTATTCCATGTATTTTATTGTGATGTTATCATTTGCTTGTTTGCATTTTATTTTGTTGTATTGTAATTCTGGGCTTAGCCTCACGTTAGCCACCCTGAGTCCCCTTTGGGGAGATGGTGGTGGGGTATATATAAATATTATTATTATTATTATTACTACTACTACTACTACTTGTATTAGCACCTTATATTTAACACTAATAAAAATTTTATGGATTACATATGTCAGATTAGATTAATGTCAGTACTATGGTTTGTTTTTCCACCCTTTAGGAGATTGATGAATATATTGTGCAAGCCAAAGAACGTGGGTATGAAACAATGGTTAATTTTGGCAAACAGGGTTTAAATCTAGCTGCTACAGCAGCAGTGACTGCAGCTGTAAAGGTAAATATTGCTACTTACCAGCTGTTTAGCAAAAAAAAATGCATGTGTTTGTGTGTTTAGCCAAAGAGAAGCTAGATAACGTTTCTTTTTTATAGCATGTCAAAAAAAGTATTGTTTCTCAAGCACTGCTAATATTATTTTTCAATAGTAAAGATGATCATTTCTCTCTTGTTGCTTTTTCTTGATGGTAATCACTTGCTGTAGGATTTCTGCCTTCTTTCTGCTGTTTTCCTTCAAGCAAATTGAGGTAATTGCTCATGAAAAATAAAAGCATGAAATATGCTACACTAAATATGAGTGGAAATTGAATGCAATTTTCCTGCTTCTTGGCAGGGGGTTTGACTGGATGGCCCATAAGGTCTCTTCCAATTCTATGATTTTATGAAATGTATATGAATCCCCAATGAATTCTGTTTTTAAGAATGAAATATTAATTCAGTACATTAATCTGAACTTTAACTGCTGTTGCTTAAAGTTGTATAATACATTTAAAAACTTTAATTTGGGCTTATTCATTTGGACTCGAGCATTATTTTGACTGCCTATATCTGTAGGCAACCCGGTTTTTGCTATAATTCAAGCATGTAATGAATTGATTCCATAGCACCGAGTTTAATGGTGAACATGGCATGGAGGAGGCACCCATCTCTTCCCCTTGTGGTCCCCAGTGCCCCTCAAAAACTTGCTCTGAAAGGCTGGGAAGCTCTCCAGAACTAGTTTGGTTTCAGCCCTAAGGATTGGAGTGTAGAAAGGATAGAAAGGCAAAGAGCTACCATTGCATTGGCACTGCAGCACTAGCATGTTAGGCTAATGTCCATCACGGGTAAATGTAGCAATGTAAAAAGAGAATTAGTACAGTTTTTGAGAATATTTTTGATTAGAATGGATTAGAAAAATAAGGTGAACGATTAGGTGTGTGAGTCATATTTATTAATTATGTATGAGTCATATTTATATATTCGTTGGGGGTGTCTATGGGTGGAAAGTATACTTTCCTTAGCTACCAGACAAAGGAATGACTGTGGAATTGTCAGTGATATGGGAACAGAGACTGGCAGTCCAACAACATCTCGATGTCCACGTGTCTCCATACTCTTGAGCCAGGTATGATTCCAGTAGGTAACATTTTAATGTACTCTAATTTTAGAGTCTTTACAGACTTAAAATATTAGAGAAGGAGGAAGAAAATCATTAGAGTTCTTGCACTTTTAGCTTAGAATTCACAAACCATGCAGTCAGTTGATTTCTGAGGTAGACATTTAAATATACATGCTTGAAATAAAATATTATCAAATAGCATTAGAATTGTCAGGGAGCAGATGTGACTGTACGTAAAACGTAAATTCCAGTATAGGTCAGTTTTTGACTAATTAAGTGTAATTTGTTAATATAAACAATTGCCACTCACTAGGAAATATTATTTTTACAAATTGAGCATCCCTTATCTGGATATCCAAAATGTTCAGGAATTGTCCACATGAGTGGCTGAGATAGTAACACATTTGTTCCCTAGCAGTTCAATATACACAAACTTTACTTCATGCTCAAAAGTACGAAGAAGGTTGTCTATAAAATTACCTTCAGAGTATGAGTCTAAGACAGTGCTTCTAAACCTTTGGGTCCCCAGGTATTTTTGCCTACAACTCCCAGAAATCCCAGCAGTTAGGATTTCTGGGAGTTGAAGGCCAAAACATCGGGGAACCTACAGGTTGAGAACCACTGGTCTGAGGCGTATATGATGTTTCATATTGCTTTTGTGGTTCATTTTTGTGGTTAGACTTTAGTCTCATCTCCAAAACAGCTCATTATGTGTATGCAAATCTTCAAATAATCTGAAATCTAAAGCACCTTGGGTCCCAAATATTTCAGATAGAGCAGTGGTTCTCAACCTGGGGTCCCCAGATATTTTTGGCCTACAACTCCCAGAAATCCCAGCCAGTTTACTAGCTGTTAGGATTTCTGGGAGTTGAAGGCCAAAAACATCTGGGGACCCCGGGTTGAGAACCACTGAGATAGAGGATAGTCAAACTGTATAATTTTTCAGCCTTCATATTTTCCCCAGTTAGTTCCTTCCTCTGAAGTGTACCTAATATTAATTAATGGTCTCCACTCTCAGTACTAACCAATGATCCTGATTAGCTTTCATGATAAAACAGGCTCTCTTACCCTGAGGATGTCTGGACCCAATGCAGTGTTCCTGCACCAGATATCTTGAAAGAAAGTCTACCTTTAATTCTCAGTCGACCTGTTTGTTTGGAATTAGTTCCAGCTATGAGCAAACCACATATTGTCGAAGGCTTTCATAGCCGGAACCACTGGGTTGTAGGTTTTCTTGGGCTATATGGTCATGTTCTAGAGGCATTCTCTCCTGATGATTCGCCTGCATCTATGGCAAGCATCCTCAGAGGTAGTGAGGTCTGTTGGAACTAGCAAAAAGGGTTTATATATCTGTGGAATGACCAGGGTGGGACAAAGGACTCTTGTCTGCTGGAGCTAGGTGTGAATGTTTCAACTGACCACCTTGATTAGCATTTGATGGCCTGGCAGTGCCTGGAGCAATCTATTGTTGAGAGGTGAATAGATGTCCCAGGTTGTTTCCTCTCTGTTGTTTTGCTCTTGTAATTTTAGAGGGTTTTTTTTAATACTGATAGCCAGATTTTGTTCACATTCCACAGATATATAAACGCTTTTTCCTAGTTCCAACAGACCTCACTACCTCTGAGGATGCTTGCCATAGATGCAGGTGAAACATCAGGAGAGAATGCCTCTAGAACATGGCCATATAGCCCGAAAAAACCTACCACAAACCACATATTACTTGTCTGCCTTGTTTAGCTGTCATTTCTAATTCCATGAATCTCATTTCCTATCTAACTAAATAAACATACTTCTCTGTGCAGTTTACAGCTTTGCCTTGAACGTAATATTACAATGGCTGGCATTCTGCTTGTAAGAGATTAATATATAAGTCATCCTAGGCATGCAGGGTAAATTATTCACCATAGCATAATAGAGGTATTTTGCTGACAGTGGCAGAAACAGAATTGCACACACAGCAAGATGGTGCATCTAACATTGTGTAACATCAAACAGTCATTGACATGTATTACACAGTGTTGCTGTTCTGCATTGGGGTCACATTGTTCTTTTGCAACATATCTCCATATGCAGACATTTGCACAGCAGTGAGGGGTTGTTGCGTTACAGGCAATTTATCAAAAAGATGAAGAATTTACTAAATGAGCTAAAATGTGAGTGCATAATAAATCGTTAGATTAAAGAATTTATGAGACATTAAGGGTTCCTGTTGGGTCCAGTTGCTTTCTCTGGACTTAGGCTTTCTGTGCATGGGATATTCTAGGATGCTATCAATTATAAATCACAGCCCAATTTTGGAGTTCCAGTTTTGGAGGAAAAAATGTTTATGGGAAAAATATTTAGGTTATTAGAATATTTTTAGAATTTCCTCAGCCACCCCAATGATCCTACTTCCAAGAGAGAAATATCTGTGCTATTCCTCACCATTTTGTTCTCAATAACTCTGACTGAACTAATTGCCACTTTCTGCTTCTGCTGCCTTCCCAATAGGCCCATAAGACTTAGTGAAAAAGGCTCATACAGACAATATGACATCCAAGTGTGAAGAAACCTGGAAGTCATGTTGTCTGCATGGATCTTTTTACTAAGTCTGTGGTCCCATTAGAGAGGGAGCAGATTCCTCAGACTCAGTTTACACATCAAAAGGCAGGCAACAGGTAAAAATATGGATGGGAGGATTCAAGCAGCCATCCAGAGTCTGTTGGACCACAGTTCCTAGAAGCTCTGCTCAGCATAACTAGTCATGAGGAAAATTGCCCAAATCCTAAACACTGGTTAACACAAAATATGGCTCATTGAAACAAGCTAACTTCATATGCTGTAGTTTTAAAAGGATGATTTCAGTGTATCTTACATAAGATTTGCCTCTATTTGTCTGGACGTGGATTTAATCCAGCATCAAAGTGAGCACTTTCAAATTTACCATGGCTGCACTGGAGGAGAGAGGCATGTGAAGCTATGGCAAAATTACCAATCAATGCACTGCTCACTGATAAAATTGATAAGATAATGTGACCTTTGGATTCTTGAAAATGTCAGTAAGCCAAACTTGGCAGGAATTCATGTGAGAGTTTCTTGGGATATTGTTTCTTGGGAATGTTTTCCTATCTTACATCTTCATTTATTATTATTATTATTATTATTATTATTTAGAACATTTATATCCCGTCCTTCTCAACCTACAAAGAGGGACTCAGGACAGCTTCCAACAGGCAACTATTCAATGCTGACATGATAACATAAAATACAATTCGCATACATTAAAAACAGTTATAAATATACATTTAAACAGTTTACCAGTTCACATTGTCATCCAAATCAGTCCATTTATGAAAATTAATACAACCTAGGGTGATAAGGTGTTCAATTTCCACCTTATATTGCTTGTTTATGGCTTCCATTACTGCTCTGCCTGTTCTGTTTAAGCTCCATGGAATGCAAACGCCAGATGGCATGCTGCCAAAATAGCATCTTTTTTATGGCCCTGTGACTCACACAAATAGGGGAATCTGCCACTGTACAGTCCATCTTCGGAAGCTTCTATGAGCTACTTCGTTAGGCTTTGGGCAGTAAAGCCCGCCCATCATTGGACACTTCATCCACTTACTTCCTGCTTAAAGCTTCATTTCTTTTTGTAAGCTGCTGCAGCAGCATCAATGAATCTGTTCTATACTTTACCTCATTTCTGTTTTTCAACTTTTGGACTTTTTGTCCCGATTTCAGTTTTGGATTGTAATATTAATCAGTAATCTTTCTTGGACTGTGCTTTTGATCATTGTTTACCTCCACTAGATTTGACTTGAATGGATCAACTCATGAGTGTTCCTTTTCCTTTGGTGGCATATGCTGGCTTCTTCTGGATCTTTTAGGAAGTTTAGATTCCATTGAATGAAGACCCCTGAGAAGAACGGCCATTCTTTGTGTCTAAATTAAGACTACAATATTAGGCCTTGTGTCATGACTCAAGTTGGATTTTTTTTTATCGTGTCAGAGGCAACCCAAGATAATTGCAAGTTGCTTCTGATGTGACAGAATGATTGATAAGGAGAGGAGACAGAGTCACAGTAATCTCTGCTTCCTGATAGAGATGATTTCTTATCTTTCTTGGGCATATTGTAGTGACTGAAATAATGGAAGTAGTTCTGCATAGAAATGTGGTTGTATTTACATGTACATGACCACTGAACAACTCTAATTTGGATAACTGTCACCTGGGATGTCTAGTTGTACAATCAGTGACTGCATTGTAATACAGATTGGGTTTGTTTGGATAAAACACAGATAGTGTGGAGCAGACTTTTTTCAGTGCTTTATTTTTCCATACCACCGTGTGTGTACATAATCTATAATATTGCCATAGTTCTGTTAGCTGTTGTACAGCAGTCATGATGTTACATATGCTAAATTTAAGATGTGAATTTCCGTTTATTCTGAGAAGAATCACCATCCCAAGTTCTCAGATGAATAAATGAACATACTGCTCATTGTTTTTCCATTTTCCAAAATTACTTGCTTTTCTATTAGTTGTAAGTACAACTAATCAAAGCAAAATTTAATGGTTTCATGTACCCACAGATTCACAGCACATAGTTTAGTGAAATAGAATACTCAGCTAGTTGTATTGAGTAAGATGTTTGTCAACTTCAGATAGGATTTATGAGTGGGACAAACTGAAGGAACTACAGATCTTTTTGAGCAAAACAGAAAACTGTTGATATAAGATATATAAACTATAACACTGTGATTATCAATAAAAATCAATTGTGCTTTTTCATGTGTAATAACTGTTTTGTTAAATGTAAGGAAATAAAGTCTACAACTGTGTTGTAGTAGATAGATCCACGGACCTTATCAACAATAAAAGACAAAAAATAAAGAATACACAGACAAACACTAATCACTATCCTAAAACTTCTCTAATCATAAATTAAAATAAATTAAAACACAATAAAACTTGATTAAATAATAAGTTTGGTAAAATGGAATTAAATTACAGTGATGTCTGTCTTACAAATGTTGCAGTATAATAATTTCCAGGTAAAGCTTTGAATTTGTTTTATTATGACATTCAAACCAAATGAACTAAATGAGAACATTTTATTTGTAGAGTGCTTCCCAAGCTTTAGGACACAAAATCAGAAGATGTTAACCAGTAGATTAAGATTATCTTAACTCTTAAAAATTGATCTGTTTTAAATTTAAGAACACTAGGTTCAGAATTACAGGTTTTGTGATTTGATGCACTAATGCAAATGAACCGTTTTGTATAATACATGCTTAGCTTTAACTTTTTTTAAAAGTGTGCTTTTAATCTTTAAAAGAAAATGTGTTGCATGCAGAATTTTGTAATAGTGCAATTGTGTATTATTATTTTACATCAGAGTTTAAGAAAGGAATCCAAATTCTTTCTTCTTGTTGAATTTTTTTCTGTTTCTCCTGTCAAGGGCCAAGGAGCAATAACTGAAAAGTTGAGGAGTTTCAGTATGCAGGACTTAACTGCTATACAAGGTGATGAACCAGTGGGACAACGGCCCTACCAGACATTACCTGATACCAAAAGGAGAGGCAAAAACGCCAGCACCAGTGAAACCCTAGGTTTGTATGTTACTGAAAATTGGCTACTTGTAATTTTTTTTGGCATTTTTATAGAAGTGCAGAGATAAGCATTCTGTTTCTAAAAAATGAGGTTCCCTTGCTTGTGCAAATCAGACTTGGAATAGCCATAGGCTAATGTTACTTTCCAAACAGTTTGTATTATATTTCCCTTTATGTTGCCTTACAAAAGTGTGTCCTCTCACGGTCTCTCAACTGTATTAACATATTCTTGATAAAGAGCTGAAAGTGCTATCTCTACCTGATCATGACTTCTCTGGCACTGCATTCAGTTGAGTCTTGTTTGCTTTGCAGAATACAGCTTAAACTTTTATAAGGAAACAATGTGTACAGCAAGTTTGGTATAGTGCCCGTTAGCGCAGATTTCATAGAATTGCATTGCCCTTTCCGTACTGAGCTAATATTATTCTATCCTGATGTACTCCAAGTTATTAAACTTTGAGGAAAAACAATTGAATATTTTTAAAATAATTTTGATTTTTTTTATACAGTGCCCTGAGAATAGGATATAAATACTTTACTAAATAAACTACAGTTACATTTCCTGTGGTTAACCATGATGTCTAAAATGTTCTCAGAGTAGTTCTTCTACTTTTATGTATATTTTGGGGTACATGTGATTTATCCAGAGTTATTAATGGATGGGTAGGAATACCTTCCAGTAGATGAGTCGCCTTCGGGCTGATATGGGCGGGATACAAATGTTCTAAATAAAATAAATAAATACATAAAAAATATCTCTCTTAGCAATATGCAGCTATTTGGATCACACTGCCTTCCATGATGCCAACAGGACATTACTGCTTTGTAGTGCAATTCCAGCAGCATTTTTAAAAATGAATGAAGATGTGAGAAAGTGGCTAAATGCTGTTCACTGTTGCTGAGATCCACAGTCATAATTTCGCTGCAGGTTTAAAGCCTGCCCAGTTTTTTAATGTTATTTTCCCTTTTGAATAGCAAATATCCCCATTGCATACATTGCATTTGAAAGCTATCTTAGTTTCAAATGTAACTTTTCAGGAAAAATTGCTCTCGACAACTTTGAGTATGTAGATTTTGTCAGAGTTTTATATTGTTTAGATCATTTCTTAAGTGAAAAATGGGTAAGTGATTGTAAGAATCATGTCCAGTCATTGTATGGCAAGCAACAGTCAAGCCACCTGTGAAAGTTTAGCTATTACAAATTAAGAGACTGAGAATGTAGAGAGTAGAGAAGAGATAGAGAAGAGAATGAGCAGAGAATGCTGATGGTGATGATGAGACTGAAGAAAGCAAGAGCTAGAGGAAGAGGAATAGATTCCTGTAAAAGCTTAAGGAAGGTTTGCTGGAATATTGGGATCGATGGATTGAAACTGTTATTTGTGACTATTGCATAAACATTTACTTTATTGGAAGAAAGTTTGTCTTCTGTGGATTGTATTATTTTTCTCAACGGGGCGCAGCTTCCGAGAAGGGGGTTTGAATGCTTGAAAACAACCCCAACTATAAAGCAGCAACACCATAGCTGCGCCAGATTTTGTACAGTAGCTAGCATTTGGAAAATCCAGGAGCAGAGCAACTCATATTTTCTGGCTGTTTTAAAGGTCAATAATTACAAGTCGTTGCTTTAAACTACAGTGCTTTGCTTTTTAACCTTGTCGTCTCAGGTTACAGTATTCCAGTGAAAGATGATTCTGAAGATGATAAAACAGATGAGGAGAGGGAAGGGACCTATTCAGAAGATGAGATGTTTACTCAGAGAGGTCTCCGGAGAACACAAAGCATGAGATCCGTAAAAACAATCAAAGGTCGCAAAGAGGCAAGTAAATCTCTTTTTATTAATATAAAGTTCCATGGAAAGATAATCACCTTACAATTATTCTAAAGAATTTACATGCTATTATAGATGCATTCTGGGTGTGTGTGTGTGTGTGTGTATATATATTTCTGAATGTGGTGCCTGTAAGAAAATAAATATTTTGTGAATAGTTCTGAGTTTCAGTACCTTAGAGCAAGGATTCTGCATATGACTGGCCGACAGATAATAAGAAACAGAAAAATTCAGAGTGATGTGAATGAGCTACTAGAACATGTAACTAGAACATGCTTTACTCAGTTTGTGGAACAGATGAACAAATCACAGAGATATCATTTGTGTGCTGAAACTAGGTTGATGGTCCTCAAACAAGCTAGAACATGTAAGTCAATAATAAGCATTGTTTAAAACATTGCCCATTGTTTAAAACTAGTTTACAATTCAGATTATTTAAGAGCAATACACCATAATATTGTGTGTAATACTATACTAAGTTAAACCAATCCGATTTGTTTATGCACTTACATAAAGGTAAATGCAAAGTAGAAATGAACAAAGTTCAGACACAAGCTTACTAATGTTCAGATTGTGTTTTTTACATGGAGTTACACTTCTCTTGTGGCATCAGTTTTGCAGTTTGAAGGTTTTCATTGATCTACTTGAAGTGGCCTCCATGATACCAGGCTTCTTCTCTGGCTAGCTAGTTGCACTGCCTTCTGATAAAAAGACCAGCCAGAAACATCTATCCTCTGGTTGTCTCTTGGCTGGAGTACTGTGACATACTGTACATTGTTGTTGTTATTTATTTATTCAGTTGCTTCCAACTCTTCGTGATCTCATGGACCAGCCCATTCCAGAGCTCCCTGTCAGCCATCACCACCCCCAGCTCCTTCAAAGTCAAGCCAGTCATCTTGCCCTTGGTCTTTCTTTTTCCTTCCATTTTCCCCAGCATCATCGCTAAGCTTTCCTGTCTTCTCATTATGTGGCCAAAGCTCTCGCATCCATAGGTTACTACGGGGAATACCATTGCTTTAACAATGCGGATCTTTGTTTCCAGTGTGATGTCTCTACTCTTCACTATTTTATCAAGATTGGTCATTACTCTCCTCCCAAGAAAAAAATGTCTTCTGATTTCCTGGCTGCAGTCTGTGTCTGCAGTGATCTTCACACCTAGAAATACAAAGTCTGTCACTGCCTCCACATTTTCTCCCTCTATTTGCCAGTTATCAATCAGTCTGGTTGCCATAATCTTGTTTTTGTTTTTTTTGTTTTTTGATGTTTAACTGCAACCCAGCTTTTGCACTTTCTTCTTTCACCTTGATTAGAAGGTTCCTCATCTCCTCCCCGCTTTCAGCCATCAAAGTGGTATCATCTGCATACCTAAGGTTGTTAATGTTTCATCCAGCAATTTTAACTCCAGCCTTGGATTCATCAAGACCCACACATCCCATGAGACTTTCAGTTGCCATTTATCTTATCCATAGTTAAAAGTATAAGGATAATTGACACCAAAATACAACACTGCCTGAGCTTAGCGAGTGCAGCATTTTTCTGAATGAAGGAGAGAGTGTTTGAGAACCAGGACATCTGTAGGGAGACCAAGGTACTTATTTATAAAGCTATTGTCCTCCCAACCCTGCTATATGCCTGCGAAATGTGGACTGTCTACAGGCGTCACACGCAACTCCTGAAACGATCCCATCAGCATTGCCTCAGAGAAATCCTGCGAATCTCCTGAGAAGACAGGCAGACAAATGTTAGCATGCTGGAAGAAGCAAAGACCACCAGCACTGAAGGGATGCTCCTACGCCATCAACTCCACTGGACTGGCCACCTTTCCTGAATGCCTGATCACCGTCTCCCAAAGCAGTTATTATACTCCCAACTCAAGAACGGGAAACGTAACATTAGTGGATAGGAAAAGAGATTTAAAGATGGGCCAACCTGAAAAATTGTGGCATAGACACGAGAATTGGGAAGCCCTGAGTCTTGAGCGCTCTAGCTGGAAGTTAGTTAGACCAGCAGTGCTGAGGAATTCAAAGAGGCATAAATGGAGGATGAAAGGGAGAAACATGCCAAGAGGAAGGCATATCAAGCCAACCCTGACAAGGGACCATCTTCCACCTGGAAACTGATGTCCTTGCTGCGGGAGAACATGCAGATCAAGAATAGGGCTACACAGCTACCTACAAACGCACCACCAAGACACCAGACTTGGAGGACCATCATCCTCGGGCTACAAGGGATCGCCTAAGTCAGTACTTAAAAATAGTCCTGGTGCCCATTAAATCATAATACTGTTGCTTAATTTCAAACCTTCCTGTATGTTTGAAGAGCAGAGAACCATGTATATGCCTTTAATCAATATTTCCTTATATAAAGATGTTCTTCAAGCTTCCACTATCTGATACAGGTAGTAATGAGACAGAGGTTCCTTCCCAGTGGTGACACTCTGGTTGTGGAATGCTTTCAGCACCAGGCAAAGTTCTGCTAATTGTCCGAAGCCTGCAAGTCTAACACTTAATAATTAATGGGAGGAATTTTATACAACTGTTACTACTGTTGTTGTTGTTAGCTTTTCAGTATTGCTTAGGCTTTTGATTATTTTAAGAGGTAATAAAAATGCCTGAATTTTAGGAAGAGAAGTGTAATTTATTATTTCTGTAACATCTGTCACACTGTCAGTTCCAGAGGAAGGCAGGGGCAAACCTCTTATGAACAAATCTTTGTTGTAGGGTCACCTTAGGATCGCCATGGGTCRGAAAGTACAGTGATACCTTGACTTAAGAGTGCAATTTGCTCCATGATCAATCTCTTAACTCAAATCACTCTTATCTCAAAATCAATTTTCCTATTGAAATGTGTATTTAATCAGTTCCAGCCTCCTGACCCCCCCCCCCCCCCGATTTTCGTTACATGTTTTTAAACAAGAAAATGTATTTTGTAAATTCACATTCACATGGAATGATAAAAAAGAAATCAACTCTAAAATGGTAGCACAAAGTTGTGGCACAATGGTAGAAGCACAAAGCACAGAGTGAAGAGGCAGAAGCATCCTTTTATTCATACCGTAATTCCAGTCCCCTTCCCTCTCTTGCTCTCCCTCCCTCTCTTTCTTTATGAAAGAGAGGGAGGAATAAAAACAGTACCAAATCAATTAACCCAAAGTTCCTCAAAGCAGAAAAGAGCAAAGCAGACAGCACGGGGCAAGGAGGCTGCTCCCTTGAAGCCCTAAAGCTCTGTACTCTTGTGCCGGTGCTAGCTCTTAACTCAAAACACTGCTCTTATGACAAAGCAAAAGCCAGGTGAGCAACAGCTCTTAATTCAGAACATACTTAGGTTGAGATGTTCTTAAGTCAAGGTTCTACTCTATTTGAAGGAATATAATAACAACAAATAGAATCATCGACTTGGAAGAGACTACAAGGGCCATCTAGACCAACCTCCTGCCATGCAAATGGCCATCCAGCCTCTGATTAACAGCCCATAATTGTATGATGTTGATTATATAGTCAAAGATATTAAGATCTTTTCTATGATTGCAACACTTCCAGTTTTGAAATGTGCTTCCACTGAGGAGGATTCAATTCTGATTGAAGAACTTAGTTTTAAATGGTAGATAATAGCATTTATTTTGTATCTGCTGACATCTTAAATTTTTTGTTTCTTTATTTCAGATGCGGTATGGCTCATTAAAATACAAGGTGAAAAGAAGACCACAAGTATACTTCTAAGTGATCTTCGCAACTCATCTGAAATTGAACTATTATCAGTTGACTCCTCCGGGCCACTATAGGCCTGGGCCTATGTGTACGGCTTCCCCGTTCTCTCAAAATGACTCATGATCTGAGTGGATTTTCCTGGTTACGGAAGAGAAAGGGAAACATCTTTAGTGCACAGAGCTCTGCATGCGTATCTGAACTACTTGCCACTGTGCTGTGCATTTAATCATACCAAAAAAATCAATCATGGTGGTTGGAATTTATTGCTTTAAAGGCAGATCATATGTTTATACTCAGATTTTTAAAACTAATTGCTTATATGGATAGGTAACACTTCAGGGTCCTGTGCTTTATAAAACGGTATAATTTAAAGACTGGCAGATACTACCGTATTTTTTACTCTTTTGGGCGAACATTTTAATGCTTGTTTGATGTTTAACACTTAATGAAAATGATGCACTTCTAATTTCTTACTATAACTAAAAAGTTTATACTTGAATACATTATATTTCAAGGTATCTTAAAATGCTTTAAAATCTGGGGTTGGAGAAATGAGCCTGATGGAAATAGGAATAATTAGTAGTTAGTCTTTATAATGACTTGGATCCAAAGATTAAAAAGTTCAAGCAAGTAGTTTCTGCTCTGCAGTAAACTGAGTCTTTAAAACAAATAGTAGTCTGGTTTTAAAACTTTCTTCATTGCTGTGTGACATGGGGACTACTTAGTCAAAGGATTGTTTCAGCTCTCAGAACTTGTTTTGATGGTTCTTTTGACGTCTGTGTTTTGCTGTGCAATAATAATATGGATGTACCTAGTGCAGTCAGCCTATCTGATTGCTCAGTATATTGCCTTGACCATTTCTGCACAATATCAAACATACGGATTTACAGGTTTATGGGAGTTTTGATGCATTTTTTTGGTCCAGTGTTTGCCAAAAAGCATAGAAATGTGTTTTATTCAAAGACAGACTATTATTTCACCCAGCTCTGAGTGCTTTATTTTAGTTGGCAGTATCTCTCGGCTGTTCCAGGAAAGAATCTTTACCAGCCTGGGATTGAGTGTAATACCAAATAAGATTATTTTTGTATTTAATTTCTCTTTGGAGTCTACTAGTGCATCTGTGAGAATGCAGCCAGGTTCCTTTTTCTCCTAAAGTCTCCAGAATCCATCTAAACATTCATAGTTATATTCTGTCTTGGAGACTTCAGACAAATACCCAAAACAAAACAATACACAACCCACATATCCTAGATTCACTTGTTTCTTCTCTGGCTCTGTCTGGTGATTTTTCAATGTTAGTTTTTAAAATCTTGCATTTGTTTTCATCTTTGTTTGCATGTGTAGCCATTTTTTTTCTTGTAAAGCATTGCTAAAGACTATGTTTAGCCCATGCCCAGAACTGAAAGCCATATTAGCAGTACAAAAAACTGGATCATTGGATTCAAATGCTGGTCTGTGTTAGACCAGCATAATCTGTAGAGCCTGTTTTCACTTGATACATTTCTGTGATGTCCTTTGTACTCTTTCAGAGCAGCATTTTCAAATGCTAATGGATACTTAAGTGTCTCACTACTTAAAAGCTGGCTTACAAATGCCACTCTTCCTCGATGCCTAAATGTGACTCACCCGTTCTTGTTGGGTAAATCTTCCGATCTCTTGGGATAGCCAGGAGTTTTAATATTGCCATCTGGATGAAAAGAATAATTTTAATCCTTTAGTGATTAAATGATTTTTAAAAAGAAAATATCATAAGATGAGATCCACATTTTAAAGCAGATCACAGTGCTGGAATCTGAACACTTGAAAAAATGTTACCGTTATATCTGTTGGTACTAAGCTTTAATGTGAGATAAATAGATTCCATATAGATGCAGTCGCTGTTGCCTGTTTTTGGTCAAAAGATATTTAGCCGCTTGTGCTCCTTCTATTTTTATCTGTTTTATACTAATTTATACAATGCTTTGGATATGAAATAAATAAACAGATTCCAGAAAAACATAGTTTTCTTATGCATAGAAATGTCCAAAAGGTTGACAGTCTCAACAATATATAAGAGTTAACATGCTTGTAAGAGTGTTCCTTCTGTGGAAAAGAATTAACAATTTCTCCTAAAAATTAGAAGCTTGTCCCATTTTGGAAATCCAAGTGCTGCAAGCTTCAGAAATAGAATTAAATATTATAGAAAGAGTTCTTGCCATTGCATTTTTCTGTAGCTGTTAATGTGATTACACTCAATATAGGGAATATAGATTGAGATGTATGAATCGGGAGACAAACGATCCCAGGAGTATCTTTCAAAGGGCTTGTTGTTCTGCAGATACTCAGTTAACAAAATGTGGGCTGTTTTAAATTTAGTTCTTTAGCAGTTTGAGAATTTAGTTCTGTAACAGGAGTGGGTAATTTGCGACCTACTGGATATTGTCTATGACTTGCAGAATTCCTCATCTTTGTCTAGTCCAGTGGTTCCCAGCCTTTGTTCCTCCAGTTGTTTTGGACTTCAATTCCCAGAAATCCCCATCAGTTTATTAATTGCTAGGAATTGTGGGAGCTGCAATCCAAAACATCAGGAATACTAAAGGTTGGGAAGCACTGCTCTAGGCTACCTAAGACTGATAGGAATTGCACTGGGTGACACCTCCTCTTCTTCCTAAAGAACTCATCCTTGTTTTTAGTTTGCATCTTAATGCTGTATTTTGATTTTTATTTGCTTGCTGCCTAGAAATCAGCATTGTAATAGGTAAATTAACCCTTCCAGCTTGTTTCTTCCTTTTCACAAGTGAGTAAGCCAGGTAACTTCAAAGGATATGGGATAGGAAACAGTTGTGTAATGATGCATTCTAATGCTTCATATTGTGAATTTATTCAAAAAGGAACCTTGTCAGATGGGCTTGAAAGGAGGCAAGTTTAGTTTTCTTTGTACATTTCGTTAGAATGATGATACGATGCTTGCCAAAATATTGTAATTAATACTTAGAAACACTTATGAGAGGAAAGCACTTAAGAGAGTTCTTGACTGGCCAAAGCTTCCTGAGCCAAGACCTGCTTCATATGAGATCCAAAGAAGCTAGAAGTGGCCCTGTGTTTTTCAGTGAAATTAGTGAATGACAGGTTCTGTTCCCCAACACATGTGTTCTTTACCTTCTTGGAGTCAAACAGTGGCAATAGAAATACTAGAATTTGAAATGTAATTTTTGGCATGTATACTGTCAGAAAATACATTACAACTCCCATATCCACTGGAGATACATTCGAAGACCCCCTGTGAATACCTGAAACCATGGATAATAGCAAATCCTATTAGACTTGAGCTGTAAGCAGACTGGAGAATTGCACTGGAGGACCTAGAGAAACCCACAGATACTTCTGGGGATTTTTTTTAAAGTGTGGGTATGTTAAATTGTGGATATTGAATTGTGGATGAGGTGGCTTTACTGTAAAGTATTGTGGAAAAGATTAGGCTTCCATTAGGTCACTGTTATATAAAGTATTATGCAATAACAGCATATGCAAAATAAACATTTTAAACTGTATTCAAGCACTGCCTTTTACTTACCAGTTCTTACAATTAGTAGTTTCAATATCTGGATTCATCTTAACTTTAAGGACTGAAAGCTTTAACTCTAATAATAAATGATCAACTTGTTTACATATTTGTAATAGAAAGAAGACTCTTCTAGCATTTTGTACTGATATTTCTTTACCTTTGTAAATGCTATTTTTGAAAGATGTAATTGCTCTTTATTTAAAAAAAACAATAAATAAATGAGTTTTCCTGTCGTCAACTATGAATTGCACACATGGTATTCCTGCGCCTGCGCAGTACAGCTTCGGAACCTTCTAGAACTTAAAAGAACACATTTTGACAGCGCCTGGCCCCGCCCCCCCTCCCCCCTCCCCTCTCGAGTATATATGGCCCAAAGYGGGGCCAGGCCCCCTCAGTTCTCTTTATCYGCCCAGCGATTCAGCTAGAGAACCTTCTGCGTTATCCAACTTGTAGGTAGACTTTTGGTTTTGACTTTGGACTGGCTCTCGGACCTCTCTAAATCTCTGACCTGGACTGTATTTGACCATTCTCTGGCTTACCCTTTTGGCTTTGATTCGCCTTACTTTGAGAAACAGAGCATTCGCTCTGCCTGTGATTTGATGGCGACCACCTCCTTTAAAAAATGCTCCCAGTGCCCCAACACCCTCCCGGACACTGACGGGCACTCACTTTGCCTCGCGTGCTTGGGAGAGGCGCACCTCTCTCAACCTTGCAAAATCTGCCAGKCTTTTACCCCGCAAACCCGCAAGAACAGGGTCTCCAGGCTGAAGGCAGCCCTATATGAGAGGGCCCTTTTACCTCCAATAGCCCCTTCTCAGGCCTCAGGGCCAACTGAATTGCCTGGTTTCAAGCCGCCGCAACATGGCGGGAATATTAAAAAGAAGGCCAAAAAGCCAAAGGAAGGGGCTCACCAAGATGGCCACCGGGCTTCTTCAAAGCCATCTAGCCCTACCAAAAGGGCGGGAAACTTGCTAGCCCTGCAGTCGCCCCCAACGCGCCTGGTCGATACCCAGCAGCGCAAGGAGCAAGCGCCCCCTGTTGGGGTTCCGCAGCCCTCCGGGCAGATATYGAGCCTCCCCGCTCAGCAACTCGCGCTCCCAAGCCTTCCGAGGGCGGCGCGAAGTGAGGAAGCGGCCCCCTCGGGATCGGGCCCTGGAGCCATCGCCACCGAGGCGCAAGCTGGCTTACCTCTCCAAACGTCTGCCCTTAGCCTCCCGATATCGGGAGGCAGTGGAGAATGGACAGTAGGGGCGGCCCTTCTCGATATCGAGGGCTCCCCTGACGATCAGCCTGTTCAGCCGATGCTTCCTTCCCTTCCTGGAGTGGGCGTGACTTTGGCCGCCCAGCAGATGGCGGGCCCCGCCTCCTCCCTCTTTGGGGAAGCAGCGCCTCCACCCACCTCCTCCCCTTCAATGCCTCCACCCAGACTGGATGAGGAAGGGGAAGGAGGGGCCTTGCAGCGTCTCGAGCCGCGGCGGCGCGGCTCACGAAGATCAAGGCGGGCACGGTCCCCATCGAGATCCTCAAGGGGATCCAGACGCCGCCGCCGCCGCAGATCGCCTTCGTCCTCCTCCTGTTCTTCATCATCCTCCTCTTCAGGGGATTCGAGGAGAAGGCGCCGATCGAGGTGGGACCGGTCCTCCTCCCGCAGGGGACGTGGGATGCCCGTCCCAACGCCGCCAGCTCTGCCTTCCCAGGGTTTCTGGCAGCTTTCTCCATCGGGGCAATACATCTTCGTCCCTGTGCCAGGACTCTCTCATCCATTGCTCCCGGTATCGTCGACTCCGGTTATGCCTACTTTGCAGCAGATAGTTGCCCAGCCGGCTGCCCCTCCCCCTCCCCAGGGGCCTGTGAGCGCTTGTCAGGAGAGCTCCCTCCAGCTGGTCCACCCCCCAACCAGAGCATCAGGTATGGGGGGAAATTCCTCTACTCTGCTTATCCAGGATGCTTCTCTCACTCCATTGCCCAATGAAGGGGACCTGCAGCTCACAAATACCCAACCTGCTGACCTAAGAGAACAGGAGGGAGCTGGTCATAGGGCTGATGACATTGAACATTCTGACTCAGCCTCTGATTCTCATGATTCCGTCCAGCCAGCGGGGCCTGTAGAAGACACTATGGACAGATCCCCTGAGTTTAATAAATTTGCTTCACTCGTAAGCAGAATGATAAAGGCTTTGGATTTGCCGGCACCGAAGCCTTCCRAACATGTGGAGGACCCGATGTTCCCCTCRGATGAGCAGAACATCGCGTCCTCCACCGCGTTGCCACCTCTACCTTACTTACTTAAGTTGGCTAGGATATCTGACACACCCCCTCCCATGGTACCTGCCGTCCCTAGGAGGATAGATGCCTTATATAAAATTGATTTGTCTTCAGCCAAGTGGGTGTCTAATCCGCCCAGGCCAAACACAGTGGTYGCTGAGGTGGCCAAAACCAAGCGCCAAAAAGGTACATTAACAAYGCCCCCCGACAGAGAGGGTAGAAAGTTAGACTCATTGGGCAGAAAAGCGCACCTTTCTGCAGGGTTACTCACGCGAATGTCYYATTTTGCCACTTACATGAGTGGTTATCAAAATGTCCTATGGACAAAAATTTTACCTTACCTAGAATCCCTGCCAGCGGAGGAAAATCGCTTGCCTAGGGAATTACAGGCAGAAGCCATTGCGTTGTCTCGCCTTCAGAAGGATTTTGCCAAACATTTGGCCGAGACGGCGGGCAACCTTTTTGCCACCGCCACGTCTATCAGGAGACACGCATGGCTTAGGGCTGCTAATCTCTCGGATGAGGGCAAAGCTCTAGCAGAAGACCTTCCACTTCATGTGGAAGGACTCTTCAACCCAGATACTGACGAAAAGCTGAAGAGCAAGCAGGAAGTTCGCCAGGCGGCGAGCAAGTTTGGTTATTCCTGGCAACCGGGCTATCAATCAAAACCCAGATGGCAACAGCAATCCCCTGGCTTCCGCAAAAATTACTCCACCACGTCTGGTGGGCCTTACAGAAACCGTAATTCGGGTTTCTCTAGATTCCAAACGACCCGCAGGGCTCCGTATGGTAACAGGTCCAAATTCCAATCGTTCCAGAATAAGCCTAGATCTCAACCCGCCTCCAAAAAGCGGGTTTGACGCTTCCGCAGAAACTATGGAGTCTTCGCGGGATGTTGTTAGTGCACCCAATGTTGCTAGTGCACCATGCCCAATTGTTTTGTTGGCGGAGTCTCCTGGGGCCTGTTGCCCGAGTTCCCCATTGTTTTATGAAAGATTGGCGCCATTCCATAGTGTGTGGGCTCAGATTACTTCTGACAAATGGGTTCTTTCTATTGTTAAAAATGGTTATAGAATTGAATTTGAAAATGTTCCTCCTACCGGAAATCCGGTATCCACAACAGCTTCACTACCTTTGTTAACAGAAATTCAAACTTTGTTATCCAAGGGGGCCATTTCAACTGTTAGCCCTACCATGTTTCAATGTTGTTTTTTCTCAAGGTACTTTCTTGTAACCAAGCGGGGCGGAGGTTTTCGGGCCATTATGGACCTCAGATCCCTCAATAAACATATTTCTCCAAAAAGATTTCGGATGGTCACGTTGTCCATGATTATGCCCTTATTATTTCAGAATGCTTGATTTGCAACGGTGGACTTGAAAGATGCGTATTTCCACATATCCATAGTCCCTCACCACCGCAGATTTCTAGTTTTTATGGTCGGGAGCCAAGCCTATTGTTACAACGCCCTCCCATTCGGGCTTTCGACTGCACCCAGGGTATTTACAAAATGCATGTCGGTAGTTGCGGCGCATCTCCGCACCAGGGGAATAACGGTCTACCCCTATATTGATGATTGGCTGATTGTCGCCAACTCGCCTGATCAATTAAAACGACATGTTTCTGTCATTTTGTCTTTACTCCAGTCGTTGGGTCTGGTCATCAACCTGGAGAAGTCATCTCTCACGCCCACCAGACGGATTCAATTCATTGGGGCGCTGTTGGACTCTGTCTCCCAGAAGGCCTACCTTCCTCCGGATCGGTTCGCCAAGTTGCGGGAACTAGTCATGCATGCTGTGGCTGCCCCCGAGATTTCAGCAAAACAAATACAAATATTACTGGGACATA